ACTCACAAACTCCTTGTATGCAGAACCAAACACTGGAAATCTCTGGGGTTTTTTAAAATTTGGGTTCACTCAAGAAAATTTCCAAGATTAACAGACACAGAAAAACAAACTTGAAAATCTACAAAGAGGAAGACAAATATTTAACCCATTTTTTCCCATTTTTCATGATATACATTCAAAGCAAACTAAAAGTAGAGGTGTATTTTTAAATTTGATGTAGTAAGTACCCCACACATGCCTAAGAAGCCTTCAGCAAACTCCACACTTGACTGTGAATCTTTAAAAGACTTTCTTTGACATTTGATATTAGGATAAATAACACTACCCATCATCTCTTTAGTGTCATATTTAGGATTGCTTTAGGTATTTTACTTTCTTTAGGATTTGTGATATTGTGAATTATATTAAGAAATATATTATTGGCTTCATCCTAATTCCTAAAACAGAACTTCTAAAACCCTTGTAATTTCCTAAATGATAAGACTGATCAGTGAAAAAGAACATCTTTTGCTTTTCATAACAAACCACTTTCTTGCACAACTGGATTTATGTTAATGAGATGGTTTTAGGAAAACTTGGATGAACAAGGTAAGAGTTGGTAGGGGAACAAAAATGTGACTAGAGGGTTGGAACTTTGAGTCCCTCATCCAGGCCTCCCTAGAGGGGAAAGGGACTGGTGGCTGAATTAATCACAGATGGCCACAGATTTAGTCAGTCATGCCTATGTATTGAAGGCTCCACACAATTGCCTAGTGTATGTGACTTGGAGAGTTTCCATGTTGGTAAACAAGAGCATAGCTGTGTTCTGAGAGAGTGGCATTTTCCAGACTCCACAGGGACAGAAGCTACTGTGCTGGGCTCCCTTTCAGCCCTCGTGCTACGTATCTCCTCACCTGCTGTGGCTTTGTATCCTTCAAAACATCCTTCACAATAAATCAGTAAGAGGGCATAAAGCATTTTCCTGAGTTCTGTGAGCCATTCTAGCAAATTTTCACAATGGACAAGTGTTGTGCTTACCCCAATTTCTAGCCAAGTCAGACAGAAGTGAGTGACCTGAGCAGGTTCACTCTTTATGATTACTGTCTCACTTGGGGTGGGGCAGACATGTGGGGTTGGGTCTTCAACCTGTGCCTGCGCCTAACTTCCGACAGATGGCATCAGAATGGAGTTGCTAATCAGTGTACACACCTTCAGTTGCCATGTATGTATGCACAAATTCTCATCCTTCTACTCTGACATAAATTCCAAATTTATGTATTCTCCTGCATAAACTGAATACAAACTTTGCTGCATCCTAGACACCAAAAAGCTCAACATCTGCAGAATAGATCTAGATTTCTTTCCCTAACATTTTTATTTTCTGAAGTTAACCATTTATTTATACACTCAAAATATAGTTATTGGGTTGATATCACCAGTCAGAAAATGGTCTTAATATTTGAGATACTACACGAGGAACACAAATATGGCCCCTAATCTCTTGGAATAATTTGATTAGCTGAAAAGTATAATACAATAAATTGAGAGTGTTATAAGCATTATAAAACAAGGGAAATGCAATAGCTTATAAAGAGGGTGGCTCACCATAGCTGAGAAGGTTCAGAAGAAAAATGATTAAACTCAAATTATGGAAATACATAGGTTTTGAATCAGATAGAGGAGCATGGTATTGTTAGCTGAGAAGGTTCAGAAGAAAAATGATTAAACTCAAATTATGGAAATACATAGGTTTTGAATCAGATAGAGGAGCATGGTATTGTAAGCATATTCCAGAAAGAGAAAATTTTAGTTGGTCAACCATAATTTTCAAAAGACAATTTGCGCTATATTAATAAATAAACTCCACTAAAGTTGCATTATGGACAATAAGGGAAACGAGACAGAAAATGTGTCAGGAAACAGGGAAAAAAGGAGAAGAGACTCAGGAAAAATATGAGGGATACCAAGACTTGGTAATTCAGCCTAAAAGCAAAGGAGGAAAAGAAAAAAACAAACAAATAAACAAAAACATTATGTGAGAAGAATTAGTATTGAATGTGCAGTGCAAAAATAAGATGTATTCTAAGTTTTCATCTGCACATGTATAAGTCTGCCTGAATGATGATATCTCTTGCTGACTGGATTATTCACATGCATACATATATACACATACCAATTTCTGACATAATTAGTAATTTGCCACTGATTTATAGACCAGAATTTTTTCTCTGAAATTTTCTCTTGATAGCTAATCTCAATTGTATTTATATATCCAAAATATATTTTTATTTACTACATAAAAATATACAGTTTATTTTCTTGTGTGTCATTTTTATTCTTGACTAATTTATATGCCTCTGATGGCATGGATTACTATGTATGTCACACTGAATTAAAATATGTACCAAACTTTCAGTACATGTTAGTAATTTTTTTAAATAATGCTTTGTATTAGATAAATTCATATTTTATAGTTTTCTGACATTTCACTATTTTTATTTATTATGTGAAATAGTTATGTCATATCAGTTCTATAATCAATCATCAGTTTGGTATCAATAATACAAACTCTCATACACAGTTTTCATAAAGGTGAAAAGATACCTGTCTAATTTTTAGAAGACTGGCTAGAGAATAGTATTCAATAAATGTAGATGTATTTGATAAATGTAAACAGTCATTACCCAATGCCTGTACACAACATGACGCTGCAGTTGCAGGACTGACTCCTGACCGAAGCATCTCTAATGGTTTTGTCAGATTTCTTTTTTAGGCTCAGTGTGTTTTTGATAGAACTTGTGTTACAAGTTTTGACTTTTCTAATTTGGGACATTTTTACTTTTCTTTTAATTAGCATTACTCTTATAAATTGTCCTCTTGAGGATATTGTTTCACTTGAAGCCCTGCCCTGGGGAAGCAGCAATAATAAGCTCAGGCTTCCCTCCTGTTTCCAGGGCCCAATCATCTGCAGATGTGACCACCTGTACTTCATAGTTTTGAAACATTCATTCCCACAAAGTGCTTATAAACTCTCCTGTTGTCATGGTTATATTCACTCCATGTTTTTTTAACATTCTGGGACTGTCGGGAGGAGAAAGTCAGCTATGGGCATGAACCCAAACAGATGATATCCACATCACACAGTTATAAAGGAGAAAAACTGCAACCATGTACTTGAGCGACCACAAAAATACTGAGATGCGTCTCTGCAGGTAGGCAGGGAACCTGGCATGCTATTCTTTTTCAATGAATGTTCTTTGCTCACTTTCCTTTCCATTTTCCCCAGTGCCGTGATTTTTTCCCCTCTTCTGTCTCCTCTTCTATTCACACACTGACATCCTGATGCAAAATTTGGGGATTGAAGGGCTCTTTATGGTCTCAACTTGAGTGTGTAGCCTACCTGGCACTGCTGTGCCCCCAAGACACCCACTGACTGCGCATATTCAAACCACCCATTTACAGTCCCCCAGAAAGGCCATTTCAAGTAATACACTGTGATCCATAATTAGTTTTCCCCCACCCAATCCATTAGCAATTCCTTTCTACGATTATAGGAAAGTAAACTGAGGGCAGTCCTTCATCCCATGTCACTAGGTAGAGAAATTCAGTTCCTATGAACTAAACACTACGCTGTTACTGTGGGCATTGTAAAGAATCATGGTGCAAGCTCCAACTTCAATCCAAATTATATCTCTTACTCATCATAAAATGAATAAATGCCTAAGTCAGAAAGGTATCTGTCCTTACTTGCTTCCTCATTATACAGTAAATATGTAAGAATAAAAGTGGGAAAAAAACTAACAAATATTTTGGGTCAGAAAATATAGCAAAATCTAATTAGAAAACACAGACCTTGTTTCCAACACTGACTGTCTGTGACAGACGGTTCAGCCAGCCTCTACCATGTTTCCATCACACCTACTGAAAAGCAGCAATAAAATTCACCCTTATCTAAAAGTATCCCTTCTAACATCTGTCAGCATCAAACTTGCATGTGTCTTATAAATTTTATGTGTCTTTTAATATGGGAACTGAAATCACTCCCAGATGCAAACCTTTATTTTTGCCTTCAGTTTTTTTGCCTTCACTTCGTAGTACAATATAGATTCTCCAGCTGTCAGCATAGCCAGTAAGTAAAAGTTTCCTCTCCTACAATATTCCTGTTTTCTTGGTACTTTCAGCCCTTGATTTCTAATATGAACTAAAAAATTGGGCTTTTTTCTGCTTTCTCTTAGTAATATGCAGAATTCAGAAGTTCAATATGTCTACTCTTCTTGCCAAGAATTTGCTGTATCTGTCTGAATTCCAACAGGAATTAATCAATAACAATCAACATCATCTGCTTGATCCTTTCCCTTATTCTTCTAAGACCTGTGAGCATCTTATTCACTATGAGATGTGATTCTGTCTGGAAATTACATGACACTGGCTACTTCAGTCAGGGGCCAATTTAACCACAGAGAGGTTGGAACCTGTAAATCTGGGGTCATGAGCCTATTACATGGCCGTGTCTAGTTGATTTTTTCCAAAATACCTTTGTTTCTCAATAATAATAAAATGGTCTTAGGCAAAGCATTCTTGTGCAGACATGTTAATGTAGAAAAAGACTTATTGCAACTCTGTCTGCCAGCACTCTGAATGAATACCTTCCATCTGAATGGATGCTGGACACTGTGGTGCATCTATCCCCAAGAGCATCGTGCATCTGTTCACAATGCTGGTGAATGGATGAATTCACTATTAGATGCCCTACATGGGGGAAGCTCACAGGTCTTTTCAAAGGACAGTTGTCATAACCTTAGAAATGATTCAGTATTGAGTGAACCTCGCACCTGAATTCTTACAAATTACACATTTCATCTCAGGACCTGTTTATACACAACAAAAATAATAATTTGTTATCATTATTATCCCTGCCATAAAAGGCACTTATATGCTACACATAGGGTACTTCCAAGGCTAAGATACAAAGATCAACCCTAAAAATCTTTTTTATTATGCCAGGTGGAAGTGGGGACATTATGGATCACAGAAACAAGTCCAAAGTCACTGAGTTTATTCTTCTCGGGTTTCAGAATGAAAAAGACATAGAAATTCTTCTTTACTCTGCATTCCTGCTCATGTACATGACATCTTTGATTGGCAACACCATGATCGTCCTGTTGGTGTGTGGGGACTACCGTTTGCATTCCCCCATGTATTTCTTTATCGCTAATCTTTCTTTCCTGGAAGTCGCCATCACATCCACTGTGGTGCCAAAGATGCTGGCCAACACGTTTTCCCTCACCAGAGCAATATCCTTTGCAGGATGTCTCACTCAGTCTTTCTTCTACTTCCTCCTGGGATCCACAGAATTTTTCATCCTAGCCGTCATGTCCTTCGATCGATACGTCGCCATCTGTAACCCCCTGAGGTATGCGATGATCATGAACAAGCAGACGTGCATATTGCTGCTTCTGGGATCCTATGTGGGTGCCTTTCTGTCAATCTTGGCATCATCCATCTTAACTGCCCCTCTGCCCTTTTGTGGGCCAAATGTAATCAACCACTTCTTCTGTGACAGCGCCCCTGTGCTAAAGCTGGTCTGTGCAGATATCTCCCTGGCTGAGCTGGCAGACTTTATCTCCTCTGTTCTGTTGCTCCTGGGATCCTTGCTCCTGACAGGAGTATCTTACACGTACATTGTCATTACCATCCTTAGAATCCCCTCTGCCCAAGGACGCCAGAAAGCTTTCTCCACCTGTGTTTCACACATCACCGTGGTTACACTTTATTATGGAAGCTCCATCTCCATCTATGTCCGCCCAAAGAAGGTCCACGTGATGGGTGTTAACAAGTTTGCCACAGTGCTGAACACCATTGTAACACCGATGCTGAACCCTTTCATCTACAGTCTCCGAAATGAGAAAGTCAAAGTATCCCTGAGAGATGCCTTCAGTAAATATGCAGGAATGATAACAAATTTAAGATCTTTATGATCTTGGGAATAGTTATTACAACAAAGATGTCTGGTGATAAAAAGATTTAAATCTGTAACTACGTAAAAGTTTATATTCCTGCATAAGCAAGAAATTTAGGAGAACATATTCTACTTCCTAATCCTTGTCTCGCTTCACTTAACAGTGATTCACAAAGATTTAAAAATATGAAAATGCCCTCACAATACATACAGACATCCTAACAGGTAGACAGATAAAATACATATGTGATTATACTGTTCTCATTTTCCCATGCCTCCAGGGTTTTAAAAATCAGATTCTTGTACAATCTAGTGATTTGAACTCTAACAAAGCCAGTATTGGGTGTCTCTGATTTAGGTAGATTCTTAACTTTATACCAAAACTCACATTTTGTGCTCTTTTTAAAAATATTTGGGTTTTTTTTTGCCTTTTATCCATGTGGATTCCCTTTAGAATGAAATTTTATTGAACATGCTCTGACTCCAACTTTTAAATATTATGTATAAATTGTTGATCCCATTTGTTTATTCACGACTAAGTTTATTGCCACATTATTTGCAATAGCCAAGATACAGAAGCAACCAGTTTCCATCAACAGATGAAAGGACAAAGGTGATACTGTACATATACACAATGGAATATTATTCAGCCATAGAAAAGAAAGAAATCTTGCCATTTGTGACATCATGGATGCACCTAGAGGGTGTTATGCTCAGTGAAATAAGTCAGAAAGACAAATATGATATGATTTCACTTATTTGTGGACTCTAAAAACAAAACAAAATGAACAACACAGAAGAAGACTCATAGACACTGAGAAGTGACTGGTGGTCACCATAGCGGAGGGGCTGGGGTGGGTTAGTGGGGATGGTGAGGGGCATGAAGGGGCACAAAAATTCTCAATTATAATTTAAATTGGTCACAGGATGGTATTACAGCATGGAGAATGTAGCCAATGATTCTGTACATCTTCCTATGCTGACAATACCTTTACTAGTGGGAAGAGCACTTAATAATATGGGTAACTGCATATTACTGCATAAATAATATTGCGTGCTGGGAACCAATATTAGTGTATATCAACTACACTTCAGTAAACTTAAAAGAGACCAAGGAGACATCACAACCAAAAGCAAAACTAAAAATGAAAACAAATCAGCTCATTTGTTCTTCTGCTATTGAGTTATGAGAGTTCCTTACATATTGCTTTGTAATATGTTACAAGAGTTCCTTACATGTATGCTTTGCAAATATTTTCTTACATTCCATAGATGTCTTTTCACACTGTTTATTGTTTCTATTGTGTGAAAGAGCTTTAGTTTGATTCCATCCCACTTGTCAATTTTTGTTCTTGTTGCCTGTGACTTTGGTGTCATATCCAAATATTGTTGCCCAGACCAATGTCAAGAAAGTTACAGAAAACAATCTGGAGGTTTCTCAAAAAATTAAAAATATAAATACCTTATGATCTGGCAATTTCACTTTTGGGTACACATCCAAAGAAAATAAAACCAGAATCTCAAAAAGATATTTGAACTCATGTTCATTGTTGCATTATTTACAATAACCAAGATATATAAACAGCCTAAATGTCCATCAATGGATAAATTAATTAAATAGTGATCTTATAGACATATATATATATATATATATATCAGCATGTATGTATGTATGTATATCAGCCTTTAAACAAGAAGGAAGTCTTGACATTTATAACAAACATGGATGCACCTGGAGACTATTCTTCTAACTGAAATAATCCAGACACAGAAAGACAAATATTGTACCATCTCATTTTCACATTTTTATGTGGATTCCAAAATAGTCAAATTCATAGAAGCAGAGAATAGAATATTGTTTGCCAGGGTCTGAGAGGGAAAGGAAAATGGGAAAATGTTGATTATGGGGTACAAAGCTTCTCTGACAAAGGTGAATAGTGGATATGTAATGTACAGCATGGTGATTCCAGTTAATAGTAATGAATTATATACTCAAATTTGCTGAGGGTTGATCTTGAGGGTTGTTAGCACCACAAAAAAAAGAAGGAAAACAAAAGATAACTATATGAGGTGATAAATATGTTAATTAGTTTCATTTTCATGATTATTGCACTACATAAGTATATCAAAACAGAGTTACATAGCTTAACTACATACCATTTTTGTCAATTATACTTCAATAAAGCTAGGCAAAAATAAAACTAACAATAATAAGAAAGGAGGAACAAAAATTGCCATTCACGTATAATATACCCATTGATATAGACTTCTCTTATACGTAGAATCTAAAAGTGCTGAGTTCATAGGAACAGAGATTGGAAGGCTGGTTGCCAGGGGTTGACAGTGGGGAAAAATGAGGTGATGTTGGCCGTGTGATACACACTTCCACCCATAAGGTGTGTAAGTTCTGGGGACCTAATGTACAGCATGGTGACTATAATGAACAATACTGTATTATATACTGGAAAATTGTTAAATGTTATCACTACAAATATGTTAATTATTTGAGGGGATACAGGTGTTAACCAACCTTATTGTTTCAATCATTTCATAATATATATTTATCAAATTATCATATTGTACACCTTAAACGTACATATGTTGTTATCAGTAATGTCCCATTAAAGCTGGGAAAAATGTTGGAGCAGCACAGAGGGAAAAATCACAGAGAAAGACCTGTGCCAGCAACCTTAATGAGGAAAATGTTACCCTTACCTCACTTCAAGCACACAAGTTAATTTAACATGGACCATACACCTGATCATAAACCTGAATGAAAGATAATAGAGAAAAACATAGGCCAAGAGCCCTTAGAGATGAAACAATCATTAAAAAACCTGGACTTCCTCAAAAAGTATTCTGCCATTGGCATATTAATACATGAACATGTTCAGCTTCATCAATTATGAAATGTAAATTTAAACCATAAAGATATACAACTTGGAATACTTTCAAATGGTTTTTAGAAGTAAAGGCGCACAACCCTGAACACTGGTAAGCTTTGACAGAACAGGAACTTTCATCACTAGTGGCAGTAAATATTATAAAAGCTTTGAAAATACTCTGTCAGCTTCTTACAAAATTTAGCATACACCCGTCCTATGAACCAGTGATTACACGTCTAGACATTCAGCAATTTTCGTGGACAGTTTTGTCCATGAAGATTTACTCGTTTCATTTTCCATAATAATCCCAACTCTGAACCAATCAAAATCGTAATGAGGAACCGTGACAGGGTGCCCGGGGAGGCGGCCTGAAGGCAGCCCGAGTCCCAGGGAGCGCAGGGCACCGCGCATAGGGTGCATGGGGGCAGTGCCGCCGACAGAGCGCCACTAGCCGGGGTGCTCGCCCCTGCCCAGGGCTGGACGCCGCCCCAGGGCCTCCACCAGCTGCCCAGCTCCCAGGGCCACAGGCACAGGCAGGGTGAGAGGCAGCTCCAAACCGCAAGGCAGGGAGGCCACACAGCGGCCGGATGCTCAGAGCCAAGACCACCTGCCGCCGCTCCCTGCACAACCCACGCAACCTCGGGCACAGTCCAGATCCGTGAGTCCCTGCTGACCAGGGACCCCGCACCCCCACTCCCTCGCCAAAGGGCCCAGAGTGCACGCTGCCATTTAGCCTGAGGCCGGTCCAGGGTCAGGATACAGGTCACAGGGCCTGCTTCACTTTCCCCATCTGGGTCCAAAGAAGATGCTTTGGAGCTCCTGGGACCTGGAGGCCTGTCCTAGCTGGGAGTCGGGCTTCAGCCAGAACCGGTATCCCCCAAGGCAGGGCCGGCTCCGCTCAAGGGGCCCCGGGCCGCCCCTCCCTGCACCAGCTAGGCAGTAGGGGACCCCAGGTGTGCTGGGGCTCCGGGCTGCCGCCCAGCCCTTGTGCCTCCCGGAGCAGGTGGCTGGCCTCCGCCTCACTGCAAGGGCTCCGGCCTCCGACCCAAGGACATCATCTTGGCCAGAGCCCCGGGGGCCAGCAGACACAGCCAGGCTGGGCCAGGGACTCCGACTCGCCTTGTGGGACTCAGGGAAACCACAGGCTTGGCCCCAACATGGCCCGGCCCTGGCTTTTTCTTTTTATGCTGGACTTTATTTTTTAAATGAACTGCAGAGAATGGAGAAAAAATTCGGCTATTTACAGAAAAGAAGATCTGCATACACACCCAGAAATACACATTTGATGACAGAAGAGACGTGCTTGCTGGCCTCTCAGAAGCATTTTTCAAAGAGCTTTGTTTTATCATCTTGGTTTTTAAGAAAGCCCTTAACTGTTTCAAATAGTTCTTTAAATGTCCCCTATCAGCAATTTCATACTCCACAGAAGTACATCGTCATAATACAGAGTGTTACTGGGAGAGAGGGGAGTGGCTTTTGCAAAGAAGTTCAGGTCCTCAGTGCATGAGTGAGCCAGCTGGTTCATGCATCTCCATGGTAACAGCTTTCTGCTCTTCATCAACTTGTTTGTGACAGCTTAATATTTCCATTTCCAAGGTCTCTATTTGGGCAGAAACTTTCACTCCATGTTTTGCTCAGGAAGTTACCACAGCATCCCCAACATAAATGAGATCTGGGCAAACACATGAACACTCACTAGAAGGCGTCTTTACTACACAAACTGGACAAGCTTTTGGACTGGACCTGATGAAAAGATGTGGTGGAATGAGTCTTCCCAGCCCAGATATGGGCCTTGTAAATTAGAAGACTGAGCTCCAGTGGCCCGGTTCCGGCTGCAGGAGATACCCCAGCAAGGAAAGCCTCAGCAGGAAGCCAACTGTGTTTGTATGAAGATCAGAAAATTGCTATTATTTTCTACCACTCTTTTGGTGTACTTTGTTACAATCAATGTGTAATTTGAGCCAGGGCTATTCACTTAATAACTTACCCCTTATATTCTGTAGGGTATGTAGTGAGATCTCTTGTTTTTATTCTTAATACTGGTAATTTGTGATTTCACTCTTTCTCTTGTGCATTTTCTCTAGGGTCTTTTATATTATAATAATATTTTCTAAGAACCAACATTTATTTGTCT